TAGTTAGGTTGATGTATTTACACCTTAGTGCAGCTATCAAGTGACCTAGTATGGTTTTTACTTTGAACCGTGGATGTGACATCTCTCTCTAGCTTTTTAACTGGTCGCTCATCTATTAGTTGCCTCTAGGACTTTGGATCTAGATTGTTTAATGTAAGGCGAGAGTTGTGGCTTTTGGAACAGACTGTCAGCATTGTCAGTTGGAGAGTAACAGCAATACCGGGCTAGAATAAGTCGGATATTGATCCGAGTTGATTAGCTTAAAAAGAATAAAAGGAACCTGTTTCTCTCTGAGAGCTTATCTTTAGCCATATAATACAGTGACGCTAAAAATTAGCTACTAGATTGATGGCCCATATGCTGTTTTTCCACATAGGCGCAAGGCCAGTTGGGGAATGTAAACGGGGATGTGACATTTCGAAGGACTATCAAGCATGGAAATAGGTCCCTAGGAGATATTCAATGGATAACAGTATTAATTCAATTGAACTAGTTCAATAACCACGTTTACCCCATTCTCAGATTCTCCGACTTCCCAACCTTTTACTATTTGAACATTTATAAAACCTACCCGGAAACTGCTTTGGAAAATTAAAACAATTATCTTTCTTTTGCGATCCTGTTCCACCTGCTAATCAGATATCCTAGTTACACTGGATTTCGCATAGTCGAGAAATATACAACTCATATAAGTGGTAGACGTTGGGTAACAAGCAATAGGTCAACCCTATGTCGCTGCGTAAATCTAGATCCTATCTGCCAAGCGCTTTCAACTATTGCCGTGTTCAATGCTTTGTTTGTTGGAGAAACATTTTGATATTCTTTGTGACTTTTTGTCTTGGTACGCATATCTGGGTCATCCGCCTAAAACGGTCCGATTTCACTTACGCGTAACGATTCCGCTATCTGTTCATAGTATTAAATAACTGATCTACTTCACTGCAGTGTGTTAATTTAAAACCCAAGTGAATGGCTTCTGTAGCTCATTCTCTAATGGAAAAACCTATGAAGTTGCCTGACGGTTACCACTGAACCTGTATTCTTCTCTGTGAAAACGAATCCACTTAGAGGGAAATGTTTCATTTTCCAGAAACCTCTTTACTCTTTGCAAGGAACTGTGCTATGATCATAGATATGCACAGTTTTTACTAAGCAATAAACCTCTTTATGTTCCGGGGGGCAGGACACGTTTTATTTGGAGGGGCAACCATGTACTTTTTACACGAAGGGTTAAGTGCTTCTCAAATCTTATGACTGAGGGCTCAGTAGTAACTGGGATGTTAAAAGTGCTCTAACTTCATAAGTGATTTGTTTTATGGTATCCATGGACAGACACTAACATGCACTCGCAGTTACAATCGTGATTCACGTAGAAGTAACCAAGGACCAGTTTAGTCACTGTACCTCTACCTGCAGCAAATATCTGGTTGTCCGGAAAGTAATTTCGCTTTTTCGCCCTTATGTTAGTTATAATTGTCTTTTCAGTACTAACTTCCTACATAATTCGCATAATCGTTATATCTTTTGACAGGTGATATAGCAAAACTTGCTTGGGCAAAACTTCGTTTAATTCTACACAGTAGTTATTGGTTGGTGCCCGTTTAAATTTGGAAAGTGCAAAGCATCCGTTTCGAGATGTTTACTATTTTAATATAGAACAGCTAAAAAGGCTGTTCAAGCCAGAAAACGTTAGCGGACGTGTATGGCAAAGACGTTGTAACAGAACACCAATGCTAAAACTGTTTCGCAAAATTCCGACCTGGCGAGATTTATTTGCGTAATTACTTGGATTAACCAATTGATTATTCGAAGTAATTTGTTACTATTTGTAATAATTAACACAAACCAGCAAGTAACAACTCCTGAGCGCATTGATAGATTAAAATTTATTGAATTCAACTGTTCAGGCTCATTTGAAACGCCTAGGTTACATCTCGAAGCTGTGCATTTGGGTTCCTCATGTTCTTACGGAAGTCTGTGTTTTGCTTCCCGAACAAAGAGGAAAGAATCCATTTTTGAAGCTTCAGGCTCATTTGAAACGCCTAGGTTACATCTCGAAGCTGGGCATTTGGGTTCCTCATGTTCTTACGGAAGTCTGTGTTTTGCTTCCCGAACAACGAGGAAAGAATCCATTTTTGAAGCGATCATCACTGTGGACGAGAAATGGGTTGTATGAAACAATTCTAAACGCAAGCGATCATAGAGTAATAAAGATGAACGGGCTCAAAGCACTTCGAAAGCTGATATTCATCAATAAAAATGATGATTCCAAAAGAATGGTTTATTTTGAGCTTCTGCCGAACAACACAACAATCAATTCTGAAACACACTGTCATCAGCTGGACAAATTAAATGATTCATCTAAACAGAAAAGGCCAGAAAAGATTAATAAAAAAGTGTAGGGTTCCACCAAGACTATGTGAGACCTCACCTTAGTTTGTTAACTCGCCAACAGCTTTATAGCTTGGATGAGATATTCAATAGTTCAATGGTGTAGGAGGGGATAAAAAGCATAAGTTTACGAGACCCACAGGATGGATATGTAAAATAAAACTAAAGGCACAATGTTCCAACGTGCGTCGTGAAGTATCAGTGGTTAAACACTTGTACTTTAGCAAACTGTGGTGTAGCGTTTATCACTAAGAAGAAAGTCTGAGAATCGCTCGAATGTCATCATACATTGGAAATGCATTCCAGTGAGAACAGATTCTAAAAGAATAAAAATACTTTCTATAATCCAAATGGAAGCGTTGCGTCTTTCGTTTCAGGTGGTTGCCTCGGTTTTGTTTGTATGGCGCTAGAATCAACAGTGATGTACATGGATGCTCACTTTCAGTTAGTACCCAGTATGTGAGAGTAAGATCTCCGCGAAACCGTCGGTATTCTAATGAGGACACACCGAGTACATGATGACACAGTTCGTAACTTAGACCGCGTAGCCCACGCGTTACCTTTGAGGCTCTTCTTTGGTATTATTCCAGTAGACTAATGTCACGTTTTAACCATGGACACCAGGCCTGAATTGCATATTCAACGTGAAAGCGAATTTAGGATTTAATCAACATTGGTACTAGCCGTTGCTCAAACGTGCCGAGAGCTTACCTCGAAATTATCAAGTTCAAGTTCGCCACACGTACTGCTTTCTAACATTGGAGCGAATTGCCAAGGCGCTCTTGTACTATTATACCTAGGTCGTCTTCATTAGTCACTTGTTGTAGGACTTGGCGCCCCGAAAGGTGTGTGTTGACCAAGCTGCTACCCACTGTCAGCAGATGGCACTTTGCAGGGTTCAGCGGGAGCTGGATCCTTTCTGCCCATTCCTTAATCAGAGTCAGATCTTCCTGGATGTAGACACGATGGGATGCTGAGCGAATTGCTCTCCATATTTTAGCATCGTCTGCAAATATTTGCATCGGAGATAGAATGTCTGCTGAAGGTCATTAACGTAGACTAAAAACAGTGGCGGGCCGAAGACGGATCCTTGTGATACACCACTGGAGACGCACAGGCTTGCATAGTGAGGGCCGGTTACTTGTACCCTGATTGCTCTGTCGTGTAAGCAGTTTTCTAACCACGTGAGCAGGGAACCGTTGATACCGTTAACGTCAAGCTTTTGGAGGAGAAAGAAGTGATTGACCCTGTGGAATGCTTTAGCAAAATCCAAGTAAATCACATCCATGGGGACTGCTTCATCAGCCGCCCTGGTCCATGAGTCCCAGGTAAGCAGCAGATTGGTGAGACAAGATCATCTGCGTCTGAAATCACGTTGGGCATTAGAAACTATTTGTTGACTTTCAAAGTATCGCGTCAGTTTATCTGCGATTACCGATTCCACCACTTTTGATGAAACAGGATTGTGAGTATTATGTCGGTAGTTGACAGGATCCGGTCGCACCAGCTACTTATTATTTGTTCCCGTCTCTACAAAAACTTTTACACGATAAAACCTTTGCCTCAAAGGAGGATGTCAAAAATCACCTGCATCAGTTTTTCGCCAGCAAAGCGAAGCAATTTTACGTGCTGATAAAAAGATGGCAAAGTGTATTGGATCAGCATGAAGAATATATAATTTAGTAAAATAGTTATTCACCATACGAAATCGTTCATTATTTTCCTCGAAAAATACGAATTACTTTCTGAACAACAAGATACATATTCCGAAATTTGGAACGTCGCTGGTAGCACCTAGTATTGCCACACCTATATAAAGCCCAAGGGTGCTTATCTTCAGCAATCAGTATTACGCTTCATGTCATTTAGCCGTCCTATAATTCAACATGTGAATTGCATGCGAATTTCTGTTACCATGGTTCTGAGTTAGTTGCTACCCAGACTAGATAAATGGAGGACCTTTTTCTAGTCTACGGCATGGTGTATGATCTCTCCGTAGGCACTCCGTTAAGTTTTCACCATAAACTGAACTCCTGACTCTTCACGAAACCCAGTGGAATGTTACTAGTCCATTTACGAGGGAAATGTGACATTAAGCTTGTAGGTCTTTTTTATGGTCACGAAAATAATTATCGCAGCTACCTGGAGAATATAATCTTAACGCTCCGTAATTTGCCATCCATTTCGCTTCCCTTTAGAAATTTTGCCAATAATTGTCTTATGAAAATAAAGAGTACACAGCTAATTGTAAACTTCACATATCTCTCAACATACACGCAGTGTATACAACGTCAGCCTCAATTGCATTGAAACTAAGATGTTTGCGAAAATAATTCTATTCTCCGTTTGTAGAAAAGACGTTCTTTATACAGCGGAAGGCAATTAATAGGAAAAAGCTTTTATTTACAATTACGGTATTCTGCTATATTGTGCTTTGCAGCTGGCTTTGAGGGCACAAAAATGATTTCCCTCTCGTTCAGGAAAATGACCAGAGAGCTTTCAACTCACTTTAATTATTTTGTGGTGTTAAGTTAGTTGCGCCCATTTGAATTTTCCAATTATACATATACCTAAATTGAGTGTAACCATTTCCTTTTCCCCTTAGATTGATGCGATTTATGTCACCCCTGATGCCGTTGGAAACCTGGGGCCAGCAGTGTGAGACGGTCATAAAGCAACTCAAAAATCAGTTAATCGTTGAACTCCAGGCTTCCGAAAGTTGGCCCTTTCCTTCTGCCCAAACTATCTGGTACATCACCTTCTGTCGGCTGAGCAACCGCTGGTGTCGCGTGATGCAAGTGAGTTGCAGTGAAGGTTTTACAGCTGGGATTTCAATATCGCGTTTCGATTGCCGGAATGACCGAGCTGCTATTTAGCAGCTGTGGATAATCCCCATACCGGAAATAAGGGCACAGGTAGGCGAACCTGCCTTTAAATGAGGGCTTGGATTGATCAATGAATGTGCGATGACGCTGTAAGTCCACACTTCTGTGTATCCACTTAGTTCACAAGAGTCGGATGCTGAAGGTTATGGAACAGTTGCGTCTGACTTCCACTGCCGCCAAGACTGCATGCGTTATTGCTGTCGGCAGTCAATTTGGACAATCCGCATTGTGAGCAGCGAGTTGGCGTAGATTATTTTACTCAATGAAGTAACTATTCAAACAGCCAATAATATAGTGGTTACAAAACCCATAATTATTGAGGTGAACCTAACTTGTTCTGTGAAATAGTCAGCCGTACTTTATAAAATATACGACAGAATGCAACCCGCAACAACCTTTTCCAGAGTCAAGGACAGAAGTCGCGCATCACAACGTGGAACAATGCGTGTTTCTTCAACATTTCCTCTATCAAAAAACAAGTTTAAAGAAACATCCCTTTTTGGACGGCATTAACGAACGCTGGTCTTGGGTGTTTCATTAAAAGTATTAAGGTGTCTTTTGTTGGATTTTGGAATTGTAGACTAACTTCAGAGTGAGCTGTTTAGTAGTCTTTGAAATAGATGATCGTGTCTCACGGTATCATATTCTAACATACCGTGCAAGCAAATATCATATAGATGGGGTTGGAGGGTATCGGTGTGGCTCTCTCCCATCCCTGCACTCCACGACCGGCGGTTTCCTCTTCGTTTAGACTCATCAGGTAGAGATAGCCGAGCTGGGGGTGGAACTCGACACATAGTCCTTGGCGACTATCGCCATGATCACCAGTCCATTGAGCTCCACGAGTAGTGTTTGACACAGCGGTTAGAGGTAGATTTTCGTGTTTTGGAGCACCCGCCGTGTGTCTTGGATTGTGATGCAAAATCTCACCAGTGGTGTTGGTTGAATTTGCGACCAACGGTATTTCGCGGCTAATGACGGTTCTAATTAAAAGTGTGCGCCACCATAAATTTATTCATCATGTGCATCACAAAGACCTGTCCAATTCACCTTCACAGCCTTCAACTGCTATACGCACACGGCCGCTTTATAATGGAAGTCGTGACATCTAGAGGCCAACTACTGCCCCCTGCAATATTAGTGCTCTATGAGAGTGGAGAATTTGTCGTGCTGTATCGCTGTTAGCTTGCAAGCTATAACGGTCGGCTACCGTCCCCCGTATCACACAGTAACATAATATGCTGTCTGGTGGTCTGGGCTGTTAGCGGTCATGGGTTCAGTTCCGGATGGAGCAAGAACGTACCAACGACTGACGAGCCCAAATAGGACAAAACGGTCGGCTCGTGCTCTTCCGGATTAATGATTAGACCATCGGACTGAGAAGGGTAATAAACTTTCCTCAAAGTCCTCCGACTTCTTAGTAAAAAAGAGTAATTTCACTAACCTGCTACTCCGCTACTTTATAGTTTACTTCACACCATATGATTTGTTTAGTGGAATGTCCGCTTTTTATTGCCTAAACTATCACCTAGTGCAGACACTGTATTTCTCCCACAATTTGCATCGTTCTGTCAGAATATTTCGAGAAAAATTTAAACGTATGAGTAGTTTCAAATTGTGTGGAATGTAACTCAGTTTGCGAATCAATATGTTGGCCCTTACAACAACCTATCAAAACAACTGGTGCTAGCGTGCGTGTTTAAACACGCAGTACTGAAGCAGTTATCCTGACTATCCTCTAGTGCAGCGGTGTCCAAACTTTTCGCACGGAGGGTCACCTTTTGTGAGGTACGAATATGTCGGGCGATATTCAGCCTGACATGTAGATAATAACCAAAAATGACATGTTATAAATATTTTATTGCGTTTTTCAAGGTGAGAAACGGTAATCTTGACTGCAGTAAACCAATCAGCTCAGGCTTAAAGACGCTGGTTTTGATACGCGATATCACATAGGTGAGGATCATTTCGTCTCGTCCTAACACGGTCTTCGTTAGATTGTGAAACTGAGAATGTCTGCTCACACAAGTGCGTCGAACCAAGCAATATGAGCATTTGCTTAGCTAATGTAAGCATTTCTTGAAGTCTGTTTTTATCCAGCTGGCGGCAAAATTTAATGAGAGAAAGCTGCTATACTCAGTAAGTCCCTGATTTTAGGTAGTCTATATGGTATTGTGGTAGGGAAAATGTCCAAGCGTGAATTTATTATTTCATGAGAAGGCGGAGGGCCAATTAAAATGTTAACGCGGGCCACATTTGGCCCGCGGACCGAAGTTTGGACATCCCTGCTCGAGTGCATCAAATGAGTCAATCACTAACCATTCGCTGACCGACATGGTGATCAGTTGGTGGGACTTTGTACATCAAATCACCATTCACCATCCGTCGAAACTGTCACGGTAGGTTATATAATAAAATGTTGATGGCTATCGAGATGTATGACACCAACAAGACGAGCTGGTGGAATTCTCCGAGCATACATCGTGAGAAGACTCTCCTAGCTTGTCCGCAGTGGTTACGTTGCTTTTATTTGAATCCTAAACATCCGAGTCTAAGCTTAGCTGAATCAAAAAAGCACTGTTTTGTCAGATCGTGATGGCTTTGGTGGAGATGACCTTGGCGTCTCCTATTCCACCGGTAATAGACTATAAAGATGGAGTTGAAACAATGGAACAATGGAACAACGGTTTATAACGGGTAAAATGCACAGCCTTAACATGTCCCGTAGGTTCATAATAGAAGAAATTGAAATTTAAGTATTACATAAGTGGACCACGTAAAATGAGTATGGGCTAAGCGGTAGAGTAATTGCGTTAAAATGGATGGTTGTGGGAGTAAGGTAGTATAAGCAAAACCAAAGTAAACGTTGTAATGTTTACAACGCATAGCAAGTTGCAAACAGATTGCTCACCGCTCTGTACAAATGTACTTGCCTCATTGTGGGTCATAATTCCAAAGAGGTCAGTTAGCCAGAATAAATCCAGAAGATCCGTTCAAGTACCAAAGCGCAGAACTTTCAATTCGATATAAAATTGTTTTTTTCGAGAAAACAGCTACTTTGGGGGCACAGACAACTGATTTTGGAAGGGCGTTCCAAGCTTGGCAGACTCGGAGGGAGAAGTAATTTTGTCGACAATCTGGACGACTGTGTTGTTGACTCAGTTTGAGGCTATTACCCCTGAGGATGATGTTCGAACTGACTTTCAGTAGGTAGCGGCATACATGAGTACCTGGTAGACTTATATGAGGTCTCCAAGTAGCCGCCTGTGGCGTCCACTGAACACTCCGAAGGTATTCAGTCGTTGCTGGTACGGAAAGTTGCGCAATCCTCTGACAAAGTTTGTTGCCGACATTGGGGAGTTTCGAACGCTGCAAACTCACGCTTTAGCCAAGAGTGCCATGCCTGGAGTGCATATTCGATGTGGGGACGCACATAGGCATTAAGCATCAGATGGAATATGGATGAATCCAAACTCCCGAATGTCCTCCGCAAGAGACCAACATGCTAGTTAACACTTTTTGAAGCGGATTCTGACTGTCTGGAACAACCGAGGTCGTCCTGTGCTAGCACATTATGACCACTTGCCTGAGCGTTTGTCTGCAGATCGTGCGCCTCAAGTTTGTAGAGATAGGCGTGTCTATGGCAGATTTGGACAACGCGACACTTGTCCTCACCTACCAATGCCACGCCCTACCGGGGTCGCGTTAAGGCTCTCATGGTCGCGCATTCCCTTGATCGACCGCTAAATTTTAACGATGTCCACGAAAAGTAAAAGTTTTATGGTGATAGCTCTCGCGAGATTGTTGAGGAAAACTAAGAACAAGGTAGGCCCCAGTACGGAATCCTTAGGTACGCTGCACTCTGTTCGATTCACGTCATACTAAGATGTTCGGACTCTAAACTCAAATTGCGGTTCGCGCAGAAACTTATAAGTCCATCCTAATACTGGATCACTGACACCGTAGAACTGCAGTTTGTTCAGGAGGATTCGATGCTCCGAGCGATCGAGGGCTTTCGAAAAGTCCAGTTAGACATCGGTTCCTGTCACGTCGTCGACTGTTACGGTCCAATTGTCACTTGCTCTTAGCAGATTAGTGGTAGATGGTTGGTATTTATGAAATCCGTGCTGCGCCGTCACGATGGTGCATTAACTTTTCGTTTATCCCGTCAGCATGTCCGTGATGATCACTTCCATGACTTAGGTGAGCACGGGGAGAGGCGTTATGGGACGGTAATTGGCAAATCAGACCGACTTATCCCTTTGTGAAAGTGGGTTCTAATACCTCGTTTTCACGTTTCCGGAACTATGTTTTCGTCTAGACAACACTGAAAGCGTCCGGCAATTGGTTAGGCCAGGGGCATGGCTGCTACCTGCAGGGTTTTAGAGTGAATGTTATCCACTCCAGGAGCGCTTTGCGTGTGCAAGGATAGCAGCCTTCGTAGCACCATTTCTGCTGTGAATGTGATGCTGGATAACACTGATAGTGTGGTGACAGGAGCAAGTATTGTGTTTGAGGCTTGTACTCCTTGGGAAGTAGGCAAGTACTGGGCCCGTAAGCCGTTGACTGACCCTTTTGATGTGTGTGTATACCCACCAATCGTAGCCAGTGGTGGGATTCCTTGCTGCACCTTTCGAAGTCTATTTACGTGTATGTAAAAGAGATGGTGGAGCGAACAGAATCGTTTTGTTAGCGACTATTGGTTTGCTGACTTGTCTTTCCGAACGAACTGTTCCGAATAGTTTCTCTGAGCTACCTACGCTGGGCAATTTTCTGCGCTGGGTTTCTTTTTGTATAGGCTCTATGTCAGATCCACCAAAGCCCCAAAATTTTTGCGTTCGGCTTCTCAGGACGGATTCGGTTTGCTGGGACGGTAGAAAGAATAAAGTCCTGATGAATGGATAACTAGTGATGTGAAGCTTTTTAAGGATGTTTCCAACACTATTTCTGGGGTGCACTCAGTCATGAATGTCCGACTAGCATTTTTAACGAATGCGGCCAGAACCTGTTAATGCATCGGGGTATTCGGTGTAGCAAATATAATCGAATCGTAGAGTCACGTGATCACTTGGACCTAGAGGACTGGATACATTTAGCCTCCCAACCATGAGCTCCTCGCTGGTGAGCACTAGATCTAACCTTGATGGCTTATTCGCTCTTCTGAACCTGGTGGGATCGGTGACGGGGTGGTAGAAGGGCTTGTTATAGATTAGCCCTTACTAATGCGTTTTGAGCTGTTCCGCTTCGGTTGTTGAAGTTTCCAAATCATGAATGCTTAAATCTTCAATAATGAGGATATGGATGTATTACTGATTTAGCACAACGCGAAATGCAGTCATTAGTCTGTCGTTCATCTCCGCAGTGGTCTGTAAACTACGGACTTGAGGCCTGTATCGTCGTCCTGCAATGTGAAAGGAGATAAGTGACAAACGTTTGTGGGTAATCTATGAGCTCACAACGAAGGTTTGTGTTGTAATATTTAATCACTTCCCTTCTTTACCCGTTCTGTCGTTCCGGAGACGTGAAACATGATAGGGCGATTTCAGCGTCGACAGTTGCACAGCTCAGCTACGTTTCGGTGTTCCGCATGGTATGTCGAGACTAGTATGTCTGCCGGTGACGGAGTTCGATCAACTTACTTATAAGATCTTGTGCGTTAGTATACAAGCAAGTCACTTTCTCAGTGAATCATTTGACATTGGATTAAGATTGAAGATTGTGTCGGCCGTTGACTGGTCGACCACTAGTCGTTTTTTGTCGAGTCGTTGGTATTTGAATTTAGGTCGGGTTATATGATTGCTCTCGGCTGTCCTGTACCTGATGGGATCTCGTGTTTCGTCTTATTCCTTCCGATTCGAAGGTTGCCATTAAATTATTCCCTTTACAGAGATGCACCAGTTTGGTCGTCCACAAATAGTCGTTAACCATCCGCGGCCGTGTAACCGCTGCCGTTAACCGAATTTCTGTATCTAGCCGCTTGCAGAATTTAGACCAATTATCAAAAAGAATCAGTATCATACGCTCAGATTGTAGTATCACCTTCATCATCCGAGGACAGTTCCCCTTGTAGTTGCGTGAAATTTGAATTCTTGTCAACCGTGTTGCAACGATACTGTCGTGGGAAGATATCTGGCCGAAGTAACTCCATTGTTCCCGGTCGTGTTTCTCCACTTCCTCAGAGGGAGATGATTGAAGCTCAGGAACGCCGTAAGCAATAATCGTCCATTTTTCCTCAGCTTTATGAACTTGCTCCCGATTGCTGTTCTCTTTAGGACGTTCTATGTAGGGGAAATCCGGAAGCATGCGCACCTCATGTGATGAGTTACGGAGTGGAATCAAATACAGTAGAACAGCCGCTGTGTCATCATTTGAACGCATTGTCACCCGGAGAAATCGAGGTTCCTCATAATGTACGGAATTTTGGGTGACGTTAAACTCGTCTCAGTATCATGGGTGCAAATGAAATGCCAATTGCACAACAAATGGAATTCCACTGGTTAACTTCATCCACCAGCTTCCCTTTTATTTGTAATAGACTCTGAGTCAGGAACATTCATGCACACAACAGTTCTAAGCACCGTTATTCCTTCTATTAGCTACAGGTTTAAGGGTATTAATGGATCCGTTTTAAACGGTTTGGTCGCTTGTAGAGGTTGCTCCACCCTAGCGTTGCTCGGTGCTGCTACCGGAGTCCGGGGTGTTCTCCCCGGCGTTTGCGCAGGGCCAACTGATGCATACGATGCGGTGCGAAAAGCCCCGGATAGGAGACATGAGAGTGCACAGCTAGTGCCACTTGAAGAGGATGGCAGAGTGAGCACAGAGCTCGAGTCTTGCAGGTGGGTTTCCGATAGACAGCAGATATTGATGGAGAGGGTCTCTAATGTTCGGGCAACTGCTGCCTGTTGACCGATCTGTAACAATGTGCATACATTGAGACATGCCAATCTGAAGGAGGATAAAGGGCTCCAAACAGAAGCTGATGGGCTGGGCTTGACCGCTTGGTTTGACATAGGCTTGTCGACAGGGCAGGAGTGACGCTCTGCATTTGAGTTGAAACTGGAGGATAAATGCCTGTCAAAGCATGTTGGGGGAGGGCCGATCATTGGGGTTAGAAACAGGGGGATGAAGGTGAACTTGAAGCGGGACGATAAGGGTGAAAAGCGTTGGAGGAGGAATAAAAAGAGGGGAAGGCTTGAGCAGTAGCATCTAAACCCCAATCCGCCCTGCTCGATGCAGCAGACAGGAGGCCGTTGATTATCCTCTGCGGCCGCCAGAGCATCAAGAAATTGTTTGAGGAAAGGCTTATGGTATTGCGTGGGCAGAATACTATCAAGTTTTCCAGACGTGGGTTCCCAACCAAAAACTGACGGAGAGACATTGGGTTTGCTAGTGGGTTACAAGGTGTGCGTTTTAAGGAATAAGGAGCCACCCCAATTCTAAACCCCAGTCTGAAGGTCCAAGAGACTGAATTTGTCTGGCATGTAACCATTGACTAATCCGGGACGGGTGGCTTTGAAGGTACAAGAAAACACCACCTATTGTAGCTCACTTGATCGCTGAGGCACGCAAACGGTATGGTCCAGCGTCATTGCAATGGATCGAAGTGGAGGCTCAGATTACTTACGATAGTTGCAAACACACACGGGCAAAAAATATCTAAGCAACAAATTAAATGGCGTTGTATTGGGACCCGCTCTTTAGCGTATTCTTCTAAAACCTTGATACTTGTCATTATGTTGTTCTACATGATAACGCAGTCTCTAACATGCAATATAATGACATCATAAATTACAGGTATCCAGCGGTCGTCTCACCGGCTACAAGGCTTATGGAAAAGCTCGCTTCCTGAAGACTAACTCCTCCATGATCATTATGGGGCGTTTCAAACTGGATGTACCTGGGCAACGAGGGCGGCCTGATTTCTGCCTTTATCTGACCACTCAAGTGGATCAAGAGGAAGCTCACAGAGGTCTAATCATGTCTGGTTCACTGGAACGTGGCCAAAGAAAAACAACTGTTTGGGAACCAACTCATTATGTCTTCGTGCGGCGGTTGGAAAGCTAATCGTGTGTGTGTGTGTGAATGCATCTAACTGTACTTTATATGGTTCCTTTGTTATACACATTTGTCGAATAAATCACGTTCCAAGCCCAGGTGCTCGATGGTCTTGGCAAAGTTAGTACTTTAGGCATGTCCCTGTAATAGTTGACAAAATAGTTGTATGGGCTCAAGGTCAGCGGACACGCTTCCATGATTTGGGTCTCGCTGACGCACGGTTTGTACTCATTCTGAGTGACACAGCTGCTACTACTGGGATGGACAAGAGACCTTTGTGATTCAACAAAAGTATTTCTCAATATACACCGTTGAAGTTCGAATCTGCAGTGACGTGTGGCCTCCATCTGGTGCGTAGTCGGCCCAAAGCGTCGATCTGCTCGAATTCTGGAAATCCAAAGTTGTCTAACAATTCCATGTAATTACACTTTTTAGTGACCTGCGGAGGAAAAATGGGAAATAGGATACTGTTAAACCCTGATGGGATGTCAAAATTTTGCATTTCAGCTATGGTCTCAGTGAGCTGAAATACTGACATTCAGAGAATAATGAAGGTGATTACCGTGACTAAGTAAAATTTGGGAAACTGAATGAGAAACCGTGGAAAATTATGCCTGAGCTAGTAGATAAACATTGAAGAAATTGCTATTTATTGGAAGCACATTCGGCATTACCGTATATTACCGTGTATAAACCGATCCGTATATAAGCCGACACAGTGACTTTGCAAAGTCGAATTTATCCAAAATCGTAAGTCCGTAGATTAGCCGAAACGAAATTGTTTCATAGGATTTTGACTTCGTTACTATCTGACTTCACTTGAGTGTGCTCAAGCGAAAGCTGCTCTACCATTGGTCAGTTCTAACGACCTGTGTGATGATCGCAGTTAACGTGACTTAAAGCCGTCGGAAGAAAGATTTTAACCGCACTGGACAGCGTATTGATTAGATGTCAAGTCACACGATTCGACAAATGTTTACGGATCCGCACAAAACTAGCCAAGCTACTGCCGAAGGAATTGAACCTTCGTATAAACCGACCACCCCACTGCAGACATGGAAAATTGTCCAAAATTCTTCGGCTTATACACGGTAATATACGGTACTTGTCTTTTTGTTATACACTTTTCCTAATCCATGGTGTAGCAACGCCCCATTGGGTAATCATTAATAAAGAGCGCGAGATCGGTACTCTGACGCAAGGCCACTCAGGAAATCTGAAGCAGTTAGAAAGCACAGTTCGCACTTAACCTTACCTGTGTGCCCTATGTCAATTACTAAAGTCCAGGTTCAACTTATGACAGATCCTCATCTTTCCTCCTAAGCTCACTGTACTAAAAACAGTCCACTAGACAGTCTTTGATCCTCTTTATGCGATGTCTCCAACTGAGCACCATCTTAACACTAGAGATTGATCCACCTATCCTCAGGATTCCAACATGCAGGAAAAAACTGCACTAACATCGACTGTTCCTAATGTTTTACTTTCTTCGGCTGATCTGGCATCTATACCACTTGTGTTATGTCTGCAAATGATACTTGTAAGTAATATGACAAAACGCTCGTCAAATACTCCCTGTTCCCCTCCGGGTATATGCTCTCCCCATTTCGAGAGTTATCCTTATTATTATTATTATTATGTAAAAGTCATTACTTCACCTAGTGTGATGGACATTCTGTTCTTTCGGTCCATCATTGCAACAGCCTAGGCCTAGAGGCTGCAACTCCCAAGACGACGATGTCCAGAAATCGCCATTCTGGCGGTAAGCTTACTTCGCCATACCGGTCAGTCCACAACAGAATTTACTAAATGACCGAATCATCTTCCGTGCTGAAATGAAGTGAAAATTCTCGCGACGTGCCTACATTAAGGTTGCACTGCACTGAAGTACCATGGTGAGAAGGCCTAAATCGAGGCGTACAAACACCATTTGAATTTTGTCGATCTTAAAATAAAGGGACCGTTCACTAAGTGATGCAAAGCATTGAGGACACAGGGGAGTCAAGGAATATCACTAGCTTGGTGCTTTCGTAACATTGCTATTAGTTTTGTATTTATTAGAGCACGCTGATAATTCTCGAACGGAGGTTTACTTTCACCTGTCTACCTTTTTTCTACGTTCGAAATCGGACACCTTAGAAGAGTAAGATTCAAATACATAATACTCTGAGATGCCATTTTCTAATATATACCTATAGGATTAACGTAGCAGAAGTTTTAGAGATGACCGTTCACCTAGGAAAGGTCTTGCTTAGCAAAATTATCAAAGTAAAACCCACGGTTGTCTGTTCGAGATGTTTGGGGTTATTCCCTCGACTGTCTCATGCGCATTCAAAAATGCTCAGGCCAGAAGCGAAGTAGTGTCGTGCCGATGTCCTAAACCCCGTCATTATAGTGTCGATCATCAAATAGTACTTATCAGATGCGGCTGAACCAAGTAACCTTTCTGTTCCATTAACCTAATAGGTAAATTCTACACTGTCGGAGGAACAAGCATGAATTCGGAGCATAAATTTATCATTCACCCAATACTTAGAAGCAAAAGCCACTTTACAGAGGGTACACCCGAATTCATCAAGCTCGCTTCGATTCAACTGCATAAGTTTACGCAGTGTTTGTTGAGAACGCTCTTGATTTCACCTTATAGGCAAATATTTATAACGTCCGAAGATCCTAATTCGTAACGTACTACTTTAACTAATAAACGGCTTTCACCGTTTAAATAAAGCGGAATCAATTGAGCTTCTGGAGCGCTTATCATTCTCAGTGAAGCTGTTTCCAAGTTATACCATCATTTGAGACATAAGCCTTACTACTGAAGTACGGGTGACGTGTAGTAGACTTGGGATCGATCTAATCAGCCATAAAAATGACATTGTCTACAGTTAAAACTTCATGACAATAAAAACAGCCGGATCCCACTTGCCTCTTCCATCCAAACCTCGAACGAATGTTTCCAGCGGGTTGCTTGACAGTCATGGAGATACATGTTGAATAGAATTAGATAGAAGTATTCTTCCAAAAAAGCCAAACTTTTTCTTTTCTGTTCTTCCTTCTTAACGGGGTCCTTTTCATCGCGAGACTGGCGGCGAAGCAACAAAAATGGTAAATTGGGGCAATCTTTTTAGGGCATGTATGTAGTCTACAACCACATATGTCGTACTTATGGTGTAGATGGAACCCGCAAAGCTTGAATGTTCCACCCCGCTCTGAGGTATGTAATCCCGACAAGGTTTAGCACAGCTGCCGTCCCTCATGGTTCAGTGGCTTAAGTTGCTGGCTAGTTGGCATCAGCCTCTAGCGGTCACGGGTTCGATCTACAGAAGGGGATCGAGGGAATGTATATCACTGACGAACCTCAATAGGATGAAACGCGTCTGGGGCTTTTCCGGATTGTGGTTGAGCTATGTAGCTTGTGAACTGCTGTGATGAATAGAGTAAACTTACAACTAAATTCCACCCACTCATGAGTAATATAAATAGGAAGCATATAATAACCGCACATACAGAATATGTATGCAACGTTCCACACATTAGCTTAACTACTAGCGTTTAGTATACTTTTCAGAATACCATTCATCGACGGTGACAGTGGAATTGCTGCAGAGGATATAGCATCAAGTGTTCGGCGTAGCGTCGGGCTTTACCGTCCGCCGTAGCTCAGTGGTATTAACCACAGACTGGTAACAGCCGAGTTGGGAGATATAGTAAGCAGGGCCTATGGAACGCGCACCGTTAACCAGTTCCGAAATGATGAACCGACTGTATAGGACGTTTCCGGTCAGTCTGATTGAGTGTAGATATGATGCAACGGCCCTTATAAAATTCAATTCCATAGTACTAGTTTGTAATGTAGTAAGTTATTGTTGAATATATTGCATGTTCGGCACTGCGAGATATGATTTTCGACGGGTTATGAACAGTGAGCAATGATTTGTCACGGGTAAAAAAGCATGTTCTACGACACCATGGGCGACCATATGGAAGTGAAATCTAATTATGCTATGAATTCGTAGCTTCCTATGACCTTTACGTAATGCCGTACATAGAGACACGGAAGCGACAACTGATTAACATTTCGCCCATTGGTATGGATGCAAACGAACACTCACTGACGTCGTGTCAGCGCCACACTTGGAATCCTCTTATTTTTTGTTGAGTCATCACTGTGATCGAATTAAGCAACCTTAGAATTGTCGTTGTTCAGCTTCAGGTTGGTCTACTAACTTCTGTGGGAGCTATGTCCCCCATGATCGTTGCAATGACATTCGCACACATTTGTCTAACCGCCTAGCAGCCATTGCTGTACTGTGGAATACGAGTTAGATGGTTGCCTGTCTACGCCACCATGGTTAGGCCGCTGAATAAGCCACCATTAGGTAGCCGCCAGTGATCGCCATAGACCGCTACATGTGCTAGTTAGTATGTCTATCCACACTGGTTAAGTCTTTAGCTTTGGATAATGTGGTAGCTAGCATCTCCTCCTTTGACAAGCATCACAATTTACCTATTGGTCGGTTTCAGGTTGGAGACCAATCATCGAGGTTTACTCCAGAGGGGCATCAGGGCAGAACGGAAGGTGGTGCTCGACCACTTTCATTACACTGTCTGTCTCTTATGCTGGCAGCTTCTAACCGGTGTCCCATTGGTTTACATCCCATAACCAATGAGAGTGTCAAGGACGCCAAATCAGCGTTCTCAGCCTCGCTAACTTGAAAGTACCGCACGCTATTTCGAAAATGAACCACGCTAAAAGCTTGGTACAATACGCTAATATGCGTGTAAAATTGTATAGATGCCTTTATCGGCTTCCGTAGTATCACTATTGGCGTGCACCAATTTCCAGCAGGTTACGCCACTGAAACATGGGTGATAAAGGCACACCGTCATGTCTTACCAATCTAACTGCTTTGTAACGCGTCCCATCGTCCACTACTATGCAAGTGATTAGCGTCACTAACGACAGGGTTGACCCAGAGAAATACGACCCACTAGCAGCATCTATGTAAGGCATTTGGCATTTGGAATCTGTTTTGAGGATATCAACAAATACTCATTTGTGGGACTGATATCAGCAAAGAGTCCCTATAGGGCGAATTGGAAGGCTGGTGGTTTCGTAACATGCAGAGGACTTTATGATTTATAAGCTGATCCGAGGAAGCCATACAATAATTGCATCGAAAATCAAGTGCCCATCAGTAGATCAATATATCCGGATACTTAGCGTTTTAGATATACCGTAGCTTTTGACTGCTTTGTCCTTGCGCAACGAACGTTTGATCTTAACTGTTAGCCTTTCGGCACTATCGATTTGCGGAACACTGACTGTAGAGTCGTTTACCTAAAAGTATATAGCAATATGTACTAAATTCAAACAATCAAGAACCACGGTAGCTTGAGTTGTGGAAAGCATTTCATGATGTGATCTCCGGCTTATGGAGAATCCCACTTTTCAGTAGTACCAACCCTCAATCACCCTAGTCCGAGGAAGATGTCGAACGGACTACTTGACCATCTTCCAAGCGCAGTTTCTGCACTTGTTCACACAAAAGAGTGATGTCGATACTTGGAAGACAATTACCTTGTATAGGGATTATTTTGGTTCGCTTGTGGTACATAATGTAGGGCGGCAGAAGCCAGTGACGACTCGTGAACCGGAACGGCAACAAAAACGCGATTGTAGAGAATTAACAACGGGCGCAATGGATGAGACGTGACAAGGCGCTGCCAACATTGCGGATCGAGCCGACAGCGGATCACGGACATCTGGTAACGAGCCTGGGCTCAGAACGATGGAGGAGATATTTACCGAGAATGTCATAAATCAGATCAATACGTCGCTAGCGAAGCCCACAGGTTTGAACGCTGGTCGAGTGATGCAGCCACGGGAGAGCAACTCGCGTGCTTTCGAATGACTTCTGGCCGGCCGGAATCGGATATAGCGAAGCAGAGATGCGGGATGGAAACATGGAGGGGTTGGATCGAAGCTCACCCTCGTAGATACCTGGAATGGCCCGTCACACAACTCTTCATGCGCGTTGCGTCTTGGGAAGGAAACACGGTCCAAATCTGTACGGGTTTGTGAGTTGTCAGAGGCACGTTCTTGTGGCAGTGCACGTTTTCGCTACAGTAACACCTTTCTTCCAGGTAAACTTCCTCACTTTCGAACAAAACGTAACGTTACAATTGGACGGCACTGTATAAGTACATGGCCACGTGTTCATTGACTTTAAACCGTTTTGTAAATGTACTCGTTTCGCTCTAAAAACAGGGGCACTCACGCACCGGTCTGTAAGTCGCAGTATTGGATAGTATCCCGGTTGTTCTAATAAAGACGAAATCACTCGTGGATTGCAGTTTGTTATAGTCAGCGCTAAAAATCTCATCATTGGGTGCGAGCAGCAAACCATAGAATAATGTTGCGCACTGTATAACACCGATGTGACCCATATATTTTTCACATATGGCTTTTTACATAATGATGGTTTATGTGTATTGGTGAAACAGCAACAAAACCCCTGTGCAAGGATGACGTTTTTGGTTGCGGCGTCTGGAGAAGTGATAGCATCTGGAAGGTGATCTGTGAGTTGTGTACTGAAAGAACTGGTGGTTGTGAAAGGTGCGGAGGGAGCTATCTGAATGCATAGAGACAATCTTCCATGCTCAAAAATTGCTGAACTATTAAATCGAACGAGCCTTAGTCAGTTGATAGAGGCTCTGGGAATACGGAAGCAAAAATTTCCTTCACATACCCACACATAAACTAATCAGTCTGGGTACCCTCAAACGAGCATGGTTGGCTTACGGATTGTACAGAGCAACTATACTGTCAGACAGTACTTATTACATGCGACTGGTATAATCCTCCCGGAGAATGCTGTTCTTGATCAGTTGCACGAGGGCGTGTCTACCTGAGGGATTTTGGCGTCATTACCTACAGAAACTACTTAGCTCCTGGAGGTGATTCGGTGGTGCCCTCCCAACAAGGATACCTCAAGACCGGCGGTTTCTTCCTCGTTTGGACTCATCTGGTGGAATTCGGGACCTAGCGGTTAACGGCTGACTACTTGTTTACTATGCCAGTGAGTTAGCTCCTGGCTTTTGGTTATGCGCGAAGTAGGTCTGAGTGCTTGGTTCCTATACCAAGAAACATAGTGTCTCGCACCAATAATGAGAACATAAAATTTGGATAATCTTGCTTATATATAACGTAACTTCTCCTCTTCATTCATCCCACCTAGTAGCGTGTTAATATCTATGGGACGGAATCTGACAGTCGGTAACCTGTGTGCTCTAGACAGTCAAGTTGCTGCATTGGCTCTGTTACAAAGCTATACACTGCGACCGGATTTGTTATTAGATAGGCACGTCAGAAGCAGGTGACCGGTGTCTGGACTGGAACCAAAGGTATAGATGCTACCGGTATAGGCTTTTAAAACTACAGCTACTTAGACACATGTGCCCTTACGTTAGCGAGCATACCTGCGTCCGCTGTCGTCCTATTTTTGTTCTCACCAACAACCTCTATCTCTTTCACTTCCCTCTGCAAGTGGATTCGCCTCAAAGTTAAGCGATTATTCGTTTGAACTAACGATACAGCTTCTTGCAAGACAAATTCTAGAGGTGTACCTACGGTGATCCAGGGCAAAAAGCGAGAACGTGTCAATATACTTGAAACCATAGTGTTGTGTTACATACGCCTGTGGTCATAAAAAGGTGACGAGTTTCCAGGCTGCGTTTCTAGTGGTTCCAAAAGATAATAACATAGTAACTATTTTAATACAACAACCCCCTGAAATCGGTTATCTGCTATAAAAATATGTATATATATACTTGGTAGAAATGTTCCTCCTGTTTGTGTCCTACATGACATTTCAAACAGTTGATTTTATTGCTTATCTTCATCTCTCGTTTTCTTGCTAAAATGTTTTCTATTACTTCCCAGAAACAGTTTACGATATTTGATATTTTTCAAATTTTCGCTTTAAGTATTGCACCTTTTATACTTCTTGATTTTGGTAAACAACGCCACGCAAGTGATCCGCTTAAATTAAATATCGATTGGTCTGATGAAAAAGGCAAATCCTAGAGTAATTTCAGCAAAGCACATAGGCTGGTCTCCAGTTACTGTCCTCTGAGATCGCAGTAACATGCATGACACTGGATGATAAATCGCGCTATATCCCGGTTAATTTGCAAGCTATGACGGACTGCAACCATCACTCTTGGTTCAGTGACGTTAGCTGCTGCCTAGTTGCTCAATCTGGTATCCATATTGGGTTCAGTTTCCTGAAGGGGACTGTAGGAATGCAATGCATTGACTAGACCAACAGGGTGAAACGGCGGTCTGGTACATTTTCGGATTAGTGCTCAGACTAATTTGCTTCTCAAATGTTTTTACGAAAAAATAACACTTTGCTTAAAAGTCCTCCTACTGATAAGTGGATGAAAATTATTTCCCTGTTGATAAATAAGCTATGATGAATATTGCTGTCAGATGGATTTTAGCACCACGACACTTCAGTAATTAACGAAGGAAAACCATCCTATGGAACCTTCTCGAAAACTTTTGTTATGGATTGCGTGACTTATATACCTTTGCACTTGGTAAGGACATAGAATTCACCATTCCTTGTTAGGAAAAGTTTTGGTTGACGTTCTCAACCACATGCTGCATCATATGGTGTCGAGAACTATATACCATGACATGCTATGCCTGCCGGCCATGTAGATAGTGTCAGTCACAACGATTAGAACTCTTCGTTGTGGTTGGAGAAACCACTGTATATGCGGTCCGGGGACACGTAAATTCATGTTGAATCACAAAAAGTACTACAAGGATTGGAATGGCATACACAAAATTTCAGCACATCTAAACTTAAGCAGACAGTCAGCACACAACTGGACTCAAACAATATCTCCTTTTACTGTTTGAGCGGCAGATAATCATTGAGGAGCTATGTTTTAAGGACCAAGAAACCTTTAACAAAGATCATGCGAAGTATTTTCACCCAGTCAGGGCTATTCTTGCATTCAAAATTTGTGTTCTAGGATATTTTATGGCAAAACTCATTTGGCGACAGTTATGGTTGGATATGCGTCAGAAACAGCTGGATCAATATCCCCGTAATCCCACGTCCAATAGGATCAACATGGAGATTTTCAAATCCATTCTTTAGCTCTACACGAGTAACGGTTTGCTATACTCCTTGCATCTCAGCAACAGTTCCCATTGCCTAGCAAAGTGAATTTGCACCAACAATTCCACCTTTTCGATCGGTCGTAGCTGCCGGTTCAATATTCATTGATGAATGCTTCTGGAGATGATTTGTTCTCTATGAGATACATAATCTACAATTTGAATCAGAAAACCCTCAAGCATAAGCCATTCACTTGTCGGTACTGTAGTTTCGTTTCCTCATATCTCATTTTTTCTTTTCGTGAAAAGTAGGAATCATGATTAAACTTCAGACAATAATCAGCCTCGACGGGGAATCGAACCCCGATCCCACGGATTTCCGGTCCGCTGCTCTACCACTGAGCTACCTAGGGTTGACGATTAGGTGCGCAATTTAATACGTGACTTCTACTTGGTGCGCGACGTATTGCCAATGAGCTCACAGTATCTTTTACCATGGTTGGCCACATTTGGCCAATCTCTTGAGGTGACGGAGTGAAGCTTCCAAACTATCTAGCATACTCACGCCAGGCGAATCGTCACATACTCACTAGCGGATACAAAACGTGCAAGACTCGAAACTGTAGGATTGTGGACTGGGCTGTTGACTGGAGTGCTTAGCATGAAACAGCCCACCCTCCCTCAGGAAAAACGAGTCGACGTGATGCTTGCATAATTGCATATAACAGAGGTCATAAAAGCGTCAATTTGCTAGTGGCCCAACTGCTTATAACAACGGCCCAAACAAACCTCAACGTGATGAGGTCCTATTTGCACACGACAACAGCCGAAAGCGGGTCATAGTGATGACAGTTTACGTGTTGTAAGCCACGTCAGCAGATAGGCAGATGAGACGTGGAATTGTGAATGAAACCTTCTGATGGATTACCCCGCATGGAAGCGGGTTCACAGGAGACGCTTCCATGGATGATCGCATTACTTTAATTGAACTGCCGGCTATTCCTACCGTTCTTCTTACATTCGAAGTCTCCATCATTTATTATTGCTAAATGAATTAAAAGATTCCATTGGGACAATTGCAAAACAAATTTCTGAACTATTCGATTATGTGGTACAAAATGATCAGGTCATGCAATTTCTCTGTCCCGCAATGTCGAGAAAGACATTCATTTAGTTACGCCCAGAATAATATACAGCCGTTTCATCCTTTCAGAATTCGTCAGCAGTGATGGCGGCCTGACCAAATCTACTTAGATCATTTTTAAGCACGTTAGAAAACAACAGCCAGTATCGATCCACCCCATCTACGATCCAAGGAAACCGGCTGACTTGTACTAATATTCAAGTACATTCTATTCCAAATTGAGTTCGTGTGTCTTGTTTTAAGCTCACTGACTACTTTTGTTGAAACTGTGTCATGTTCCAAACATATGTGACGATTAAGGACGACATTACCACAAAGCAAGCTAGGTGTTGTGTGCAATAGCTGGTTTCGTAAATGGGTATTTCCAGTGATGTAAGCGCTTACTGCGGGTGATGGAAGGCCAGATGCTGAAACACACACTCGGTGGTATTCGGCATGTTGTTCCACATATTTGGCGTAAGACTCTGGAATTCCGGACGATTGCCCTTCCGAAGTAGTTAAATTAGCCGGATCGGTGTCCGATGAAAATGCACGTTTGAACATTTCTTTCGTGGATATCGCCTGCGTCAAGGTAATTGCGCTTTCTGGTACAAAGGTGTCCGTTTCAAAATCCAACCGTAGAGGGGTGCACGTTATATTGAGCTTTTGGATACTTTCGACAAATCGGTCTTCATACTCCTGAAGTAGTGAAAGCAGTTTAGAAAGGATGGATTTGTTTCACTTCATAATATGCTACTCGAAAAACGTTTCAAGTCCCTAATGCACATTGCATTCTATAAGTAGTCAAAAGTGCACTTAAAGAAACCACCCATCTTTATTAATTCTGAGTTGCATACCTGTCTACTCTGGGGATATGTGTGAGTCTAAAGGAAGAATCAAAGACTACAAGTTTGAATCGAAAGTCACAGTGTGGTTCCTTATTACAATGGTGGTATTCCGTTATTAAATGAAAAGGTATCAATGTAGAAAATTAGACAACTTACTAATGAATTAGTGAATAAGAGAATGAGCTGCTGCCGATTGCTTTCATGGATAGGCGTGAAGCCTGTTGTTATAATGTAACTACAGGATTTATCATCGTGGCGGTCTTTTTAGAATATGTGCGTAGCTTGATGTTACCTTAGGTTATGCATGCAGGTAAGGGTGATACGTCTGCGATACTGTTCACATTGGGGAACTACAGATTCGCATTCTTGTGAATGCTTTTTACAACCATGAATTAGAAAGCACACACAGATGTTCCAGAAGAACAGAAACAAAGTTTGGCACCGTTTTTGCATCCATACTCGTGCACCCTACTCGGGCGCCACTTTGTCCCTGTGACATGTTCTGTGAATTAACGCAATACTAATTATTCACTAAAACAATGCTCTAAAGTAGTGGATCTAATTCTACATGCTAACTTTTCAAAGTCAGCATACTTGTTATGGTTCAAGGCACCTGGGTCTGCATTTGAAAATTGCTAAGTCAGTAAGTCAAGTAAATGAGCGGTACCTGCTAGAGAGGTTGAAACCGCTTAGATGTGGTGTAATTCGATCCATCCAAATAGCACCTGTTTAGGTCTGTCTTATGATGTGGTAGCCGCGATATTATATAATGAACAATGAACAGTGATTTACCACGAGTTAGAAAGCAAGTGCTTGAAAGCCCACTAGGAAGGCTGGGGTGACAACTATGAAATCAGCAATCCTCTGTTTAAGTGGTTAACGTGTTCAATGCCTTGCTAACTAGCGATAGGGTACAATAAAATCGAATATAAGCATGCAGAAAAGCTTGGGGCGCAGTGATACTTGAGAGATGTGCCGTATCCTTGGGTTAATGTGACTAATATTTTCGGTATGAGATTACGTTAAACAAATTACACAGTAGCGCAGTTTAGACAACGAAGTGCTTGAAACTAAAAGCAACGTCCACTCGCTTTTTACTATTCAAATTAGGCGAGGATACAACGAAGTTTACAAGACAGTTCCAGGGTTGGAAAACCCAAGAGAAAGTAATGCCGTCTATACCCTAGACGGCTATATTTCGCACGGAGCTTTGGGCAATTACCTCTGCGTTTGGTGTAGTAACTAGGTTTTAACAAATGAAGGTATGCGTGGTTATGGTCACTTAACACTTGCGACACTAATATCAGGTCGCAGAGTAACCTTCGATAGCGCCTGCTGAAATCGCCCAGCAACCTCTCCCTTTGCTAGGAAGACAGCTTGTACAAGCCTTAGACATTCTTTGTTGACTGTGTTTTGGTGTCTCTAGCGCCTCTAGGTTTTACTTCAATAAAGGTTGCCAAGCTTGGATGGCGTATTCAACCTGAGGGCGCACATAGGAATTGTGCATCATTGGGAAGATGGATGGGTCAATACTCCTGAATGCTCTTCGCAGCAGGCCGACCTTCTGGTTGCCACAGACTGCCTTGAACAAACAGGGTCACACTGTAAGAGCAAACCAAGGTCATGTTCTTGCGAACTGGTCTGCAATCTGTGTGCCCAAAGCCAATACGTGCAGTCGTGTCTATGGCGCAGTTGAACAACACAACACTTATCTACATGGAATGGCCGGGTATTCTGAACTAACCAGCTTGAAGTCGTGTTAAGATCACACTGTAGCCCTTTGTGGTTCTTCGATTCTCTGATCGCTCGACGTATATAAATATCCTACGCGAAAAATAGGAAATCAGAGCCAATTGGTCTCGCTAGATCAGTTATTAATACTAAGAACAGACAAGCCACCGACACCGAGCCTTTTGGTACATTGCACTCCAAATCATTTACCTCGGACAGCGATTCCCGTGCAGAAAATTGCCTTTCCAACTCAGGATTGCGTCGTCACTGCCGTAGTTTCCAAGCTTATGAAGGAGAATTTGATCGTCAAAGCGCTTTTAATGACATCGACACCTGTTCCATCACTAACTGCTACAGTCCAGACCCATGCTGAGGCTGATGTTGCATTCTTGATGCGTCTTCACCGCAGTTGGGCTAAACCAACTTACACTTAAACTAGGTCTTTTTAAGCTGGATAAATTTCATTCCACTTTATTTGCTTTGTTCTGCCTACCTGAATAATGTTCTATTAACTGGCCACGTTGCTTACGCTAATTGCGCTTATCTTCGGTAATTTTGTTGCGTTTGTAGCATTTTTAAGTAACTTGTGGACATTTCTTACTTATCGCGGATTCGTTGCTAACCAACTTACTTCATATAGTAATTTAGGGAAGAGTTATGCCATCGTATCTGTATGCATTATTGGATTTATTTTATTTCAGCTTGTCGTTTAAAGTGAATGGCTGTTGCTTAATATCCCCGGTCTGACTGCGCTTGATGTGCATGTTGACAAGGTGCCTACCTGTCTATTACCCACTACTTCGTTCATACTGGATCCAGGAGACAGTTGATCGTTGCTGGAGGGGGCGGGGTGCACGGTCCTTGTGGCCGTGCTAGGCTCAAAGAGCGGTTCCATGCAGTCAGTGTGGAGCGGACTACGGTCCAGCTACCGCCTTGTGTGTGCGCTTGATTCCCCAAATACAGCGTGCTTGTGTTTGCCTGTGAAGGAGTGTTGGCCGGCTCCGTTGATGAAACGTGGCTCCCATCCACATGCCTCCCGGTCTTGTTCCTTCGGGTTTACACTGGATATAGGGTGTGTGGTTGGAGCTGTGGGTGGGGCAGCGCAAGCCATCCATGGTCCCTCTGTATGCGCAGGCGTCCTGTGGCTGGCCACAGTGACAGGCAAATCCGAAACCGGATGCCGCCAACCATTACATGAATTCCTTTGATGAAAGCCATGTTGCTCCGCGTCTATTAAGTTGTTGTTTTCCAGATATTGCATCAGCGCATTTTCGATAATTAATTGATTGATTAATTGATTTGGTAAGTACAGGAAGTAGTGTTATTGGACGGTAATCGGTACGGTCAGTGTGGCTACCTCCCTTATGAATAGAAGCGATGACCCCTCGCTTCCTTACTGATGGAATATGCTTCTTCTCTAGACATTACTGATGGAAAACCGCCAGTGGTTCTGCTAGATCATTAGCTACTGCCTGCAGATCCTTCGGTCGGATCCTTTCGACTCCAGGAGAACTGTGGATACGCAAGAATAACAACTTCTTCAACACAGCTTCCGCAGTGAAGGTGATATTTTCTTTACCGACGGTGGAGTAATAGAAACAAGGAGAATATTTGGACTGGTTACCTGCTGAAATGTTTGCGAGTATTGAAGCCTTAGGAGATCGGCTGCTTCCATTGCTGACCGCGTGCATCCATCAGCCGTGACTAGTGCTGGAATTCCCTGCTTCACCTTCCGAATGCCTTTAACGTGCCTGTATAACAGTTTGTGATTGGTGCAGAGGTGCTACACTCACCCTAGCTGATGCGTCATCTTGTCCTCGCGGATCAATTTCACGCAGAACTTACACTGTGTCACGTGTGCTGTCCATGTTTCGGCATTCAGGCTGTCCATGTCAGCTCGCCACACCAAATCTCTATGAGGTGCATATTTGCTTGTTTTGCTTCTCACAATTACTTGCTTTTGATTTGAGGATAGAAGGAATTTTGTGCCGACGCATGCGCTACCAGTGTGCAAACGTCTTTCTGCACGTTTCACAGTTGACTTCTGGGAGAATTCAGTTAAGAATGGAGCAATGGATGATGATGTGTATAAAAGCGAATGTCTGACATGTCCAGTAGCATCATCATCATCATCATCATCATCATCATCATCATCATCATCAACAGCAGTACATCAGCCATTTGAACTGATGCTTCGCTGCCATACAACCATGAGGACCTATGAAATAAAGAATAAGAAAAGGGAGAGAAGGGGGACTTACCTGAAAACCTTAATGCCCTAAGCAAACATTCAGGGTCAAGGCGCCTACACCTTGTGTTAACAACATACCGTCACAAACAGCTGGCTATCGTGCAAAGATAAGGCGGCATCGGCGAGACAGCTTCCTTGCGGCTTTCACTGCCACGCGTCATAATCAGCCATTACCCCGCAGATAACTCAGCACCAAACACACTTTAAACAGACAATCCGATTAGGAGATGGCAGCAGACGCGCCACTGGTGTCGGTTGCGAGCCATGTCCTGTAAAGTCTCGAGCCAAGCACAAGGTGAGTCACGTGAACTCCGACCCGGAAGGCGAGACGGACCAACGGCACCCAGCTTGGTCATCAGTGACTTCATTTCCCGCTGCCAAGTCAACTTCTGTCCACCTCGAGCCTTGCGCCATCCGACACCTGGTAGACTGAACAAGGCCCTCCTAGGTAAGCGGTGACCAGGCATGCGTAGCACGTGCCCGAGCCAACGCAACTTATTCAGTACTATCTGTTGTTCTAGGGTGCTAGCATCATTATCACTACCTAGTACTCGCCTACGCACATCATCGTTGCGGACACGCTGGTGCCATCCGACTCCAGCAATGCTTCGCAAACAACGATGATCAAAGACTTGAAGGCGCCTCAGATCTCCAGACCGAAGGGGCCAAGTTTCACTACCATAGAGCAGAACGGCCCTCACTGTGGCCTTGTATACACGGCCTTTCAGACAGAGAGAAACTCCCTTCTGTCGCCGAAGATGCCGCAGGTTCAAGAAGGCAGCTCTGGCCTTTGCAATGCGTGAGCTCACGTCAGTTTCTATGCACCCATCATTGCTGATGCAGCTGCCAAGATAAGTGAATTGATCAAC